GGGCAGCCTCGAGGAACCCCTGCGGCTTGGAGGGAGTGAGGCGCTTCCTTCTGTGTGGCAACAGGCCAAGCGCTTGTCTGGGTAGCTGTTACAGGCTCATTTTTGTAGGTACTGCCCCAACACTCATGTTCTTTCCGCAGTGTTTGTTGTCAGCCCCCTAGGAAGTGAGTTCCGAGTGCCAGGAGCTGTGTTGTTTAAAAATGAACATTACAATGTCTCTGTAGGTGTAATGCTATAAAGAAGGTGTAATGCTTTAAGGAAGTGGCAAATGCAAATTAAAATGCTGGCAGCATTTGAACAGAAGGACTTTATAGAATCAGAAACAGATGCGAGACAGAGCTCTCCTGTGACCAGTGTATTCCGTGCATATCACTATTATGCAAAAATCCTGCATGTTAAATCCTTACAGGACACCTTCCTACCATTATTCCCACTCCTTGTAAGTTTAGACTTCTTAGCATTATTTGAATGTGTGAGAAAATATCTTGACAGATGGGAAAAACAGTAAGAAAAGGTTAATTAGATGCATATTACAGCAGAACTGCAGCTTCATAGTTCATGTGTGCCCGTATCTAATTCTCAGATTAATTGGCTCGCTGTGAAGCTAAAATTTTTAATTAAAAACTTATTAAAGAACATCACTGTGTTAATGAAAAGCTTTTATAGCTGTCTTGTGACTAAAACAAAATTCTTTATCTGCTGCACTGCTGCATATTCTTATGTATTTCTCATAACCAAGGTAAGGTATCTGTTCAGTTGGTTTCACTTTGGGCTTCTAAATAGTATCGCTTTCTGATTCTATTGATAGAAAATGGCAGTGCCTTGAAATGGAGATCTCCTTACTGAGAAATGGAGGTTTTGGTGGTGGATAATGCTTGGAACAGCATTGTCAGATTTACAGGTGGTTTCTGATGGAGCCTGATTCATTATTTATATTTTTAGCTCACATATACTGCTAATCGGTGTCTAAACCATCTTGGTTATTACCTGTGTTTGTACCCCTTACTCCTCTTATACCACCATTCCTCCTGGCTTGTATAGGGTTATTAAGATTCAGAACTAATTAAAAGCATGTTTTGAAAACAATCGTTAGCCTGACTTCAAGCATAGAAAGGATTTTTTTTTCCCAGGGAAAAAAAAAAAAAACCTCAAACTTTTGCATGTAAAAAGTGTGGAAATAGATTCATTTCAGTTCCTTTGTTGTACATTCTGTGTATCTTGACAATATTCTGCAGCACAGATCTTGGTGTCACTGGGTTGCTAAAAGCCAGGTTATTATCCATATTGACTCTTCAGCAACTTGATAAACTTGCTTTATATGAAACTTGTTTATTATAGCTTACAAAAAGTGAGCTGTCCTGAACAGCTTGTTACTTGTAACTTACTACAGGCAACAAAGTGACAGGTTAACTAGTCCCTAGCCTTGGAGCTTTCTGTCTCATCAGCCCACATGTTTTTCTCTGTTCAGTGTTTTCTTTTTAGAAAGCCTATTTCTTTTAAGTATTATTTACTTCTGTTAAAAAGCTTGAAAGTCATTCCAAGTAGTTTAAGTAAACTTTGCTGTTTAATTGTTGCCTGTCCAGATGTATCTCTCAAAGATGCGGAGCCACGCAGCTTCTTGTTCAAAGTACCAGAATTATATAATGGAGGGTGTGAAAGCAGTAACTAAAGAACCACTTCACAACACCAGGTAACTAGTGATTCTCTTGACACACGCCTTTTTTTGAGCTGGCTGTAAATGTTTAATCCTTATGAAACCTCAAAATTGATTCTTGTTCTGAGAACAATCCTTTTATCTTGTTTTAAAAAGTTAACAGTGTTACAAAGCATTGGGCAAACTGTTAAATATTGGAATAAAAACAGACTCTACCTCTTCTTTCAATTTACGTGTTAATTAATTTAATCTTTTCATACTATTAAACTAAACCCTAATCCCACACCAGAATGTGCACAGACAAGCTATTCTACTCTCCAGTGTTGATCATGCAAGTTTAGTTCAAGATTAGGGGGCTTAGTAAAGGGCGTGTGTATGTGTGGAAGGGGAATATTAAATAATAGTTTTATCTTTGTGTCTTGAACCTAGTAATTTATAATGAAGGGAAGTTGGAAATGATTGCAGTGATCTGTATTGTAGCGTGCTGGATGTTTCATCGTCCCTTGTTTAAAAAAAAAAAAAAAGTAAACAAAAGAAGGCAAATGGATAAATAGCATTTGTAAGAGAACTACTTTTGTATCAATATGGATGATATTAAGATATAATAATAGGAATTAAAAATCTGATTCTTACAATTAGCTTGCCATAACTGCATAGAATGAGATTGTTTTCATAATCTGTATAAGTGAAAAGATAAGTAGCTATTCCCAATGCTCCTAAAATGATAAATGGTCTCTTTTTCTTCCTCCTCCACCCCAACCAGGAATTTTCCAAATCGCTTTACCTTTCCTTGTCCATACTGCAGTGAGAAAAACTTTGATCAAGAAGGACTAGTAGAACACTGCAAAACACTGCACAGCATGGATGCAAAACAAGTGGTAATGAGTCCTGTGATTCAAGAACTGCAGTTATGTCTAGTCTTAAATCCCTTTGAGGCAGTGAGTTAGAGAATTGCTGCTTGAAATTCAGTACATAGTTGTAATTGCTTCTTTCAAAGTGGGTATGCTATTCACACATTTAAGTTTTACTTAACTTTGGTTTTAGAAACATTCTCTAGGGGTAACCAGTCTCTAGTCCTATTGCATGTAGTTCACATCCTTTTCTACTTAAATGACAGGGATTTGAAATAAATTGTGCACAGTAATAAACATAACACCATTAATTTAAAAAAATCATAAATGTTTAAGATCTGTCTATGTGGTCCTCAGCAAGAGGATACCACTATAAACATGTGTGAAAAATACTTGGAAAAAAATGCATCTCCTCTTGTAATCTTCAGCTGCACTGTTCTCTCACATACCAGGGGAATTGCAAAACTTGGAACTAACTTGGAATCTTTCATTTGTCTTGAAAGTGTTCTTTGGAATTCAAAATTATTAAAGTAGGGGGAAAAGATCTTTCACTGAGAGAAGTGATCTTTGCAAAAGAGTACAAGGAAACTTTTCTCTTATTGAGAAATGAGAGGTGGAATCTTCCAAAGCAAACAGCTGTACTTCATAATCCTAATTTTCAGTATGTAAGGAGAAGACTTAACCATTCCAGCTCAGAGGACTAAAAATCAGATAAAAATTCAGGCTTATCTGATTTTTGTTATTAAAAGCCCTAGTAAAATAATCTAAAATCTTTTTGCATATAGAGTAGTAATTGTCACAAGTCTCAGACTTTAATCTTCCATATTGTCACTGTCCTTTTTCTTCCTTGTAGGTCTGCCCAATTTGTGCCTCAATGCCATGGGGAGATCCAAACTACAGGAGTGCTAACTTCATGGAGCACCTTCAAAGGCGACATCGCTTTTCGTATGATACTTTTGTGGTATGTGTTTCCTTGCCTTTGGAATACAGGGTGATGACTCTTAAATTCCAGCTTTTTTACATAGATGCTACTGTGAAGTCTGATCCATGTAGATGATATCTCAATAGTCAGTTTATTCATTATTTTAGAGAAAATGGGTAATTAGTAAATGCAAGGATGAGGTGGCTGTTTTTTGAATTTACTTGATGTTGTATTAACTAATATGACTGCTGCAGTAAGAGTTCCTGTATCATCTGTTTGTAGGATTATGATGCTGATGAAGATGATATGATGGCACAGGTTCTGATCCGTTCTTTGCGTGATAAATGAACCAAGTAGAAGATTAACTGTAAAACCAAGCTCCCGTGATGGGGGGAAGTGCCCAACTTCCTTGCATTTCTTCCTTTACATCCCAAGATGAACTCAGGCATCCAGAAATATGGAAGACTTTAATATCTATCTCTTGGTTTGGTCTTTCTGTATCATTTGGTCTCTTGTTAGCATGTTGTATGTGGTTAACCACATCAGCCTAATTTTCTTACTAGCTTCACATAAAGCTTAATGACAGGTCCTTTTTCTGCAGTTCATTTGACTTTTTAAACATTCCAAAAGGAATGGCCTGAACTAGTAGATAAATAAGTCTCCCCAGTCTCTGATTTACATTTCTTAGATGATGCTATCAGAGGTGTATGCACAGCTCTGGTTTGTTCAGCAAGAGCTGTAGGTGTCAGATCGGTTCCCAAGTGACCTATAATAACTGTGACTCCATAATATTTGCTAGTGTTTGAATTCTCAGTCAGCCTCTCAACTATATAAATCTTCAAACTTCCCAAGCAAATCTGTTCAACTATATAACAAACTAGTTCAAAATACTTAAATTTCACACCTACTGTTTTCTTCCATACTGTAACAAAAATAGCTTCTAACCTAAAATCAAAATGTCTTAGTGTGTTTTTTAAGATGAAATTTAAGTAATATAGCAAATAATATTCATATTTGTTGGCTTTGATTCCTGATTTTGGTATTAGTTTTCTCTCAATTTGTTTTTAAGCCTTATGTTAACAGAGGAATTCAGAAGTTTTTTTGAAATGATGCTGCTTCTTATTTAAACTAAAATTTTCATTTATGTATTTAATTTTTACATCCCTCAGGGCAAGTTGGTTTAAAATATATGTATATATAAACACAATCCATAGGGCTCACATGGTACTACTTTTCTGCCTTTCAATTTTAGCAAATATTTTGATTTCCTGAACTTCATTTGAATGTCACTAAAGTAGCTGAACCTGTACATAGATTGTTTTCCATATAATGTGTGTATGATAGAGTGAAAAGGAAAAAATAAAATAGAAACCAGAAGGTAGGATGACTATTCCAATACATGGTAAATGGATTTATTCCATTATTTAATGTTGCTCTGTTAATTACAGAGCTTCCTTTTCTTAGTTCAGCACTTCGTTAATTAAACAATCAAGATACTGCGATCCAGCCAGCTGAGGCACCTTGTGAGACCGTGTAAATCAGCGCAGGACTGAGATCTCAGTACAGAGTGACTTGGCATTGGGATGCTTAGCGTGGTCGACCTGCACAACCACAGAACTCGCTACTAATCAATTTGGCCAACAGATTCCACTTTGCACTCTGCAGATGGCAGCACAGCCTTACCCTAAACCAGGAGGTAAAGTGATATAATCCAGCTCAAACTGCTTTATTGAACTCTGTGTCCAGACAGACCTCTCATGTATTTAATTTGAATTTGGGTTTGGAACATTTTCGCAAGACTAGTATAGACTCATGCTTGGTGACAGGGCATTTAGTCCCAGAAAAAAAAAATCTCATGGTACTCTGGAGAACATTCTGCATCTGGGGTTTTTAATGCTTAATTTGCAAAGAGATTATGATGCATTAGTGGCTGGGTGGGGACTTCTAGGTTCTGGTGAGAACCAAGTTTTGTGATGCTGATTGACCTGAAACTAGATTTCTGCTATTATTCTAAGTGCACTTCCATGAAATTCTGATAAAATGTTTCAGGAGCAGTTAGATGCTTCCGAGCAATTACTTTGTCGTGTTTTTGACTTTTGAAGACAAGTTATAAATAAAGTTCATATAATTTATAAAATGCTATCTTCATGTGAACTTTTGTCATTTCCTTCTCATGGTCTATACACTTCATTACAGCACCACCATAAAAATTCTTGTTGGCTGTGTAATGGTGTAAGGAACACATTAGAAATCGAGGAATGCAGATGCTACAGCTCTTTTTTTTTTATGTATTTTGACCTGATTTATTGTTATGTGCAATGTCAGTTCTTCAAACAATGGACTAGACAGGTTACGAAAAGCAGTTTGAATAGCATGGCTCTAACCAAAATAATGTGAATCAGAGGAATAAACTCAGGGGTGTTCTTGGGTAAATTAAGAAGATTTTATTGTCTTGTAGTTTTTTTAACCAACCTCTAGAACCCTCAGCTTTAGCTCTTCTAGAGGTAGATTTTGTTATATAGTGGTATCTGTGTTATCCTCAGTTTGAGTAGCTGCAAATGAGGGGGTGCAAATTAGAGTGGCTCATAGTGGCAGTTGGTCAGAAGTCAAATTTGGAAACCAAATCTCAGTTGCAAAAACTTATTATCTGAGCATTATTCCCTATTTTGTACACACCTAAATACTGGGAGGAAACAAGTTGCCTGGAAAATGCACACAAAATCTACTTTTAATTTTGATTAGATTTCTGTGTGAATAAGAGGCAATGTCTTGGCACCTGCTAGTCTGATAGCAGTGGAATTTACGATGTGGACGTGACGAGCATCCCTGCAACCATTCAGAGATAAACTGAGCAGTAGATTTCTACTTATTCCAGCTACTGAAGAGCTTTGTGTCTCTGTGCTGACCTCATCAAACTAACAAATATAAACGTGTTTACACAGCCTGTCAGATGTCTTGCTGATACTTGCTGGTTGGTTTAAAAATGATGGAGGGGCATGTTTGCTGTTCTGCATATAATCTTGGTTCATAAAGTTTGTATGCAAAAAATCAGGATTTTTTTTAAAAAAGAAAACTGATTATGCAATAAGGCAGTTTGGGCTTTTAAACCCAGTGTCGTGTTCCTGCCGGGGAGGGAAGTGCTCTGCCAGAGCTGCTCTCACCTCGTTGTCAGCAGCTGATCGCGGAGCCCCAGCAAATCCCACATGCCCATTGTTGGTGGTAATTTAATCGGGCTACCTTGGGCCTGTGACATTCCTGTGTCTAGCACCAGGCGACAGCCTTAGAGGGACGACTGGCACCAAAGCAGGGGGACAGAAGGGGAAGGGACAAGAAGGCAGCTGAGCTGCTGGTTTTTTGGAACGAATCTGGCTCCAGTTAAAGGCTGACCTTAATAGGTCTGATAAATTGATGTCAACATTCATTGCTCAACACAACAGGCATTGCTTTGGCTGGAATTACAGCAGTAAATCCCCTGATCTCCTTATGCTGGGGGGATGAGATCTTTTAAAGGACCTTGTCTATAATAAAGCACTGGCCAAATAGTCTGGCTTCTAAGGCCACCTGATTAACAAAGTCACAACAAACTTGCTTCAGGCAGATTGCCTTTGGTGAGATACACAGGATGGTCACAGGTGAGATTAACATAAGAAGGATAAAGCTCTTGTGGTCAGGATTTTTACTAACATTTGTAGTATCTTTTAGCATCATTTTTTTAGCCACACCTGCAGCACAGCTTGAAGTCTTCATCTGCTTCAGGCTATGGTTTTCAAGGCAGTTTTGATGCTCGCAGCAGAAGGTATCAGAAGAGGAAAGGATTTGGAAAAGAGAAGCCACGTACATCATGGTATGTTCTGGGAGGAGAAGTTATGTTCTCTGGCTCTGTCTGGTAATATCACTAATATGTTTGCTGGTGCTGTCACATGAGTAGTACCAAGAATACATTAAGTAATAGAAAAGCAAATGAGGGTTATGCTTGCAGGCCTAAAGCTTTTCTACAGTTTAAATATAGTAAGAATGGCAACAGGGTGTTTAGCTGAGGGTCCTGGAGGATTTGTGTGTGTTTTTAGACTCGGAGCTTCGCATTACACTTCCATGGATCTGGGATGATTTTTTTAAAAGCAACTCTTTTTTTAGGGGGCATCCTAGTTACTTTCCAGGTGATGAGCATGGGGGAAGTTAAAACCACTATGAAAACATTTTCCTTGTTCTCACTTCCTCCCTAAAACTCCAGAAAATATTCACAGCTAAGTGAAAATACATATTGCTGTTACAGGACTTAGGTGGTCTTGTTTAGTTCTTCTCATGTCTGTTTTGTTCTTACCTCATATTCAGCTACTAGTCTGTAAAGAAACCTTCCATAATCAAGCACAAAGTGAATAAAAATGTATTGGTTCCAAAATGACCCTGTTCTGAAGCTGTATGACAAATGGCTGCAGTTAAAACACAGGACACCACCTTCTACTGTAGGACAGTGTCAATTTTTATTTTTAAAGCTGGAAAAGGCCCACACTTTGCTGCAGTCATTAGATAGTTCGGTAGCGGTTACGTCTAGAGACCGAGCCCTGTGCATCCGACTGGTCTCATGTCCAGTGGGTTCATCAAGCTCCTTGATGGCATTTTGGTCTAAGGCACTGAAGGAGCTATAATGGCCTTTAGACAGCAGAGGGAGTTCTTGGATTTTACAAAGTGCAGGAGCTGTTTACAGGCAGCACGGCCGGAGGCTGCTCGTGCTTTTCCCCTTAGTTTGTCATCAGTTCCTGGGTTTGGTTTGGTTGTATAGCCGTGTGTTTCCTAGACCTACCCCACCATCGCTGTGGCAGGGCAGTATCAATGCATAACTTGATTCATGAGTCTGAATTAAAAGGCGAGAACAGGCTTGGATGTTGACAGCCTCGCCAAGACACCCAGTTCCTTTTTTCATAACTGAAAGTTCCACTTGTGCCTTTACGTCCTGCCACCACAGGAGTTTTGCAGCAGGAAACCTGAAATGCTCTGCAGAGCTGCGGGACCCAAGGAGGATAAATTAAGAAACTCACAATACATTTTCTGCTCTGGGTGTGGGTAAGGTGAGAGCTTTTGAGCTCTTAAAGCCAACCCCTGTGGGTGTCAGGCTGGAGCTTTGCCACAACCTGTAGCAGGGCTGCTCTGAGCACCCCCAGGCTCAGCCCACGCCGCAGCGAACGGGCGGCACGTCTGAAAACCACCCACTTCCAGCCCGTGAATCATCCCAGAGTTTCCCCTCTCTTCTCCCTGTTCTCTGTCCTCCAGCCTTCTGGCCCGGTCACAGACAGGTCACCCTCCTCCCTTCGCCCAGATTTTTCCCTAGCAAACACAATTTTTGTTCTTCGCACACTGGCCGTGGTTGGAACCGATCTTATTAATAACATTTCAATGAGAGCCGAAGCAGTGCCTTTGCCTCTTAAAAGAAAACCACTTAGTTGGGTACCTTGTGCAACCCTGTGCACGTAACCACATCCGCAGCAGGTGTAACGAGCACGTGGGGCATCTGCAAGCAGCCCAGAGAGCGACCTGGAGCCGCGAGTCGCTGCGGGACGTGGCCCTCCAGGGCTCCTGCTCGTCCACGGGAAGCGCAGGGGGTCTGGCCTGCACCGTTTGCATTCCCAGTGCCTTCAGGGATGAGTTTTCCCTGACAGCATCTGCCTTCCAGGAAGGTGATCTGGGGCTGAGCCAGGCCGATGAGCAGCCCCGTGCTGTGCCTGTCCTCCTGCAGGGAAAACTCCGAGCTGAGAGCAGCCAAGGAGGATCAGGGACCGCTCCAGAGCCTGTGCGTGCAGGGAAGAGTTGGCAAACATGCCTCCTCTTCGCACAGTTGTGTGTCACTGGCAACAGCAGCAGCTTTCCGAGCTGTTCCCACTGCGAGGAAAGGCCGTCAGCTGGAATCCCTGCCAGGGGAAAGCTCTGCTTTCCACCTCTGCATCTTGCACGGACCGCGGCTGAGCGGTAACGTGGGGCTGGGGACGAGCCCCAGCGAGAGGAGCGCTGTGATCGTGAGCGCTGGCACCCCCAGCCCGTCCCGGGGGCAGGAGGCTGGAGCTGGATGGGAGCTGCACAGCTCCCGCGGACCCGCCCCCCGCCGCAGCCCCAGGCTGCAGGTGCCTGGCCCCGAGCCCTGAGCGCTTCCAGGGGGAAATCTGAACGCGAGAGGGAGGAACAGGATGAGCTGAGAGCTCGGGCTCTGCTCTTCCCTTTCCCAGGACCTGCTGGCCGAGGCTTGGGCACCCGCCCTCGCACAGCAGTACCCTGGGGGAGGAAAGCTAAAAGAAGGGCTGTTTCTCCCTGTTTTACACCCAGGTGCTGCCTAACCCAGTGGGGAAGGAGCCAAGGGAAGGCAGGTGGGGGTGAGAGGGAAGGAAAAGCCCGAGACTGGCTTGCTGGGGAGGCTGCACTGCCGCAAACCTGCACGGCCCTGCGCAAGGGCACGGCAGGTCTGGGCTTGTGCTCCCGACCGTGACCTGGCCTGGGGGAGTCACTCCTGGCTCAGAGCCAGGTAGGGTTAAGCTGCCTGCAAGGGCAGGGCTGCGCGAAGCCTTCATCTTCCGCAATCATTTCCTCTCTTCACGGAGGATTCATGGCCTGCGGCAAAGCACCTTCCCCTCCCAGCTGCACCCTGCAGGGTCGGGACAGCAGGACAGGGCAGAGGCCAGTCCAGGCTGCAGCCAGCGCCACCAGCTCCGAGCAGTGCCCACAGGCCTGGCACTTTCCACTGGTGTCACCTGGTTCCCAAGGGGAGCCCAACCCGTGCACGACATGTTGAGGGTGCTTCGTGCAGAATGAATGACTTTGTCCTGCACAGCAGCTAGCGGGGACCGACCTAACCCCGCGCCAAGGGACACATTTCCCCCAGGATAACCCTATCCCCCAAGGCAGCGTCGCATGCCCCTTCATTCCAGCCTCTCGCCCAGGCTCGATGCCCCGTGGAGGGGCTGGACGGGGCCCTGCCCGGGCATGGGGTCCCCGCCGGCCGCAGGTCCCTTCCCGCGGCCCCGGCAGGCCCGGCCCC